AAGAAGGGTGTTTGTATTTTCAACAGCAATGTTGCTAATCCCTTTCTCTCTTTGCCAGTGTTTCTGTCAACTGATAGCATTCTGTCTCCTGACAATACACTGGAGGAGCAGAAGCATTATGTGTTGGATTTAGTCATAAAAGATTCAGGCTTGATGTCATAATGGATGGGATTTGCCACGTTACTTTATCAGTCTTTCTCTAAGAGATCAAAGATTCCCTCTAGAAGGACAACACAAATACAAATCCCTGCAAGCAGAACACTAGTAAAGGGTAGTGTAAGCCTAGGATAAAATTAGTTTCCTCTCCCTCTTCTGCTTGTTTTTCATTTGCAAGGAGTTGTTACATGGAAAGAATATTCTGCAATGACATCCTTATCCAGAGTTGAGTGAAAAACTCCATCCTGTCGTTCTGCTCCATGGATAGCGTACCAAAGGAAGACATCTCAAACCCTCTGTTGTGACTCTGCATTGAAAGGGAAGATGGGAAAACGGGACACTTTGTCATTCATCAATTACTGCTAGCTGAAGGACATTTATTTATTTATTTATGACATTTATATGCCGCCCTTCTCACCCCGAAGGGGACTCAGAGCAGCTCACAAGATATATATACTTTCCCCAAGAAATATCAGGCATTCTTCTGGATCAACAACAACAACAACAACAACACTTTATTTATATTCTGCCCTTCTCGCTTCAAAGGGAACTCAGGGCAGATCACAAGTACACATACATGGCAAACATCCAGTGCCATTTGTATAGACAGTACACAGACAGACAGCACAGAAGGAGGAAGTCATGGGGAGGAGGGAGCAAGCTTGTTTTCTGCTGCCCTTGAGACTAGGACGCGGAACAATGGCTTCCAACTACAAGAGAGGAGATTCCATCTGAACATGAGGAAGAACTTTCTGACTGTGAGAGGGGTTCAGCAGTGGAACTCTCTCCCCCTGAGTGTGGTGGAAGCTCCTTCTTTGGAAGCTTTTAAACAGAGGCTGAATGGCCATCTGTCAGGGGCGCTTTGAATACAATATTCCTGCTTCTTGGCAGGGGATTGGACTGAATGGCCCATGAGGCCTCTTCCAACTCTATGATTCTATGATTCTAGGTGTTGTTTTGATGCTATGGACGGTTGGGCTCGAGTCCACAGGGGGTGCTGTCGCTCCGTCCTCTATGACAAAGAGCCGTCAGGACTTCCTCATTCTAGCATTTTCTGATCTTTTTCTTTATGACATTGTAAGACACCTCCCCCACTTTTAGCGGTACCTAATTTTTCTAATTACAGCTAAAGCTGTTTTCGAACTGCTTAGGTAAATAGTGAGCAGGGCTGACCGTCCTGCTCATGCCAACCCGGGGCTTTAAACTTGCAACCTTTTAGTTGATAAATCTTATAGTTGCTGATGATTTACCAGCTGTACTAAACCTCTGACCAGCTTTGCCAAACCTCTGACCTATCCACCCATCCAGTTAAGGATCCATCCAGTCCAGCTGAAAAGCAGGTGTCAAGGCTGCTAGATTTCTCTCCGCAAAAGTTGCAAATTGAATACCACTCTGCTGTGGCACAAATTGTTCAACGACACAGACATTAAATCGTCAAAACCTCTCTAGATCCTTACTTATCACAGTTAGCAACCTTCCAGCATCATTGTTGTGTGCTTCCAAGTCACTTCTGACTTAAGGTGGCTCTGAGAAGAACATCTCTGGGTTTTCTTGTCAATATTTTTTTGTGTTTGGGGGGAGTGCCTTTACCTATCTCTGAGGATGAGAGAATGTGACATGCCCAAAGTCACCCAGTGGGTTTCCACGGCTGAGTGGGAATTTAGAGTTTATATCACACTGTCCCCCTAGAATTGCTTGTGAGATATATTCTCTTTTTTGTGGGGTGGGAAATAGGCTTCATCCTCTTCCTATGGCCACATACCTGTTTAAAGTTTAACTGGACCCCCTCACCTTAGATCTCAGCAGTAGCATAAGGTCAGAACAAAAATGGCTGTAGGGCTTTTCCTAGCTGACAAGGAACACGAAAAGCTGTATAACTGGGCAACTTAAAAAGTAATACTCTGATGTGCAGTCAAATAATAAATTCAGGACCTGTTTCTCTCCTGGGCTTTAGTTGCATATTTCAGGTGACTCTAACCAATTTACTCCAAAGACAGCTTATTAAGTGTACCTGTTCCTATGGGAATTGTTTCTCCAACAGGAAATGTGGCAGCAGTTGCAGGAATAGCGTGGAAAAATTGGGATAGGTTCGTATATTGCAAAAAAAAGAAAAGAAAAAAAGAGCAATTCAATATGCATATGTGTACATGTCCCAGGGTTGAATGAAAAGTAATGCCTTCACCTTCATAACTCCTCAACAGATGGGAGTACTGGTATGCAGCAGGTACTGGCTTGTTCAGTATACTCTCCTCTACAGTTCCATTTTGGTGGGAAGTCTTAGCATTGAATGGATGTGTTGTTAAAGTGCAAAGTATGGAACCCTGCACAGATGGTCTGTCAATGCGACTTAAGCATTGAATTCTTGACAACAGAAGGTGTCACCCCAAAGAGGATTTATCAGAGAATGCAAGCTGTTTATGGTGATTGTGTTGTTGTGAGTACTGTGCATTGTTGGGTGAGAAAGTTTAAAGATGTTGAATTGGGAACATCTGACTTGGGTGACAAACAAAGAGTTGGACGTCCTGTGACAGCAACCACCGAGTTTCACGAGCAAAAAAATGAGAGACTGATTCAGGATGATCGTTGTATCACTCAGAGAAATTTCAAGCATAGTCGGCATCTCACAAGAACGTGTAGGTCACATTATCAGAAGAACTGTGCACGATGGGTACCCAGGATGAGAGAACTGTGAGACGCTGGTTGCAAAAACAGAGTGTTGACTTCTTCTGTGACAGCTTCAGAAAGCTTGTTCATCCTTGGCAGAAATGTATCCAATTGTCTAGAGATTATGTGGAATGTGAATAGTAGTAGTTAAAGAGCACATTCTAAGTATTATTTCTGCATTTGATTTATTAAAATATTCCCATCCAAACCCAAGTAATGAAGGTGGAGGCATTACTTTCCATTCAGCCCTCGTGTGTGTGTGTGTATGAAATGAAACAACCAGGATAGAGAAATCTTTCATAACTAAGCAAAGACATTTGGGACCTTTTAGAAATCCTAAGGTGAACTACTCTGAGTAAGAGTTGCTCAAGGAGGATTTGCCTTCCTATGAGGCTGAGAGTATGTGACTTGCCCGAAGTGCATTAACCCTGGGCTCCCAGAGTCATGGGCCAATGCTGAAACCACTGTAATATGTCATTTTCTCTCTTTTTGCTTTCTGTTAATGCTAAGTAAGGAATTCTGGGTTTTGCTGCTTCTTATCTTGCTTGTTTTGGTAGATACACATGACTATAGTAGTATTCATTAGAATATAATCCCATTTATTCCCAATTGAAGCTGTATTATATATATTTCTAAATTTCAGACACACTGCTGGAATTCGACATTAAAATCTATGTTTCTTCAGTTCTCCTTCACCATCTTCCTAATGCTAATGCTAATGCTAATGCTAATGCTAATGCTAATAATAATAATACAATAAACATTGACAAAATCACCATCTATCAACTGCAAAAGACCACCTTACTTGGATCTACGCACATCATTTGAAAATACATCTCACAGTTCTAGACACTTGGGAAGTGTTCAACTTGTGACTTTTTTCATACGAAATCCAGCATATAGATCTTGTTTGCTGTGACATACTGTGTTTTTGTGTCAGTAAAATAATAATAATCCTTTTAACTAACGGGTGGGGTGTTTGACATTCATTAAAAAGACTGTAAGAAGGAGCCTTTTGGTCAGAGGCTTTGTTAATTACAATATGCTTGAACCACCTTGATAATTCTTTAGTTCAACACTAAATGTAAACATAAGGCTCCTCAGAAAAACATATTCCCTGATGAGTCACAGCAATCTCCAAAGCTATGACAGCATCTTGGAGACCATGGAAATTGATGTATATTATCAAAAAGGTGGGATTTCTATACATTAAGGTTCTGAAATAGGGATGGGGGGGGGGAAGCATGAGGAAAAACCAACATTAAAACATAGAAATGGTTTGCCACAAAAGGAGAGCTTTGGGTCTGTACGTGGGAAGGAAGCAAATGACCTTCCTCCTCTTCCTATGACCACATGTTTGTTTAACATTTAACTAGACCTCCCCCCATACCTCTGAGCCATAATGTCAGTTCAGAACAAACATGGCTGTAGGGCTTTTACTAGCTGACTAGGAACATAGGACACAGAATAATTGGGTAAATGAAATAGTAATATCCCTGTCTGGATCCAAATAAGACGTTCCGGATTTGTTTCATTCCTGGCCTTCAGCCATGTCTTTAAGGTTGCCATGTGTTCTGAAGGATCACGTTGCCATTCTTTGGGTTCAGCACTACATTAAAGCATTGGACCCCTCTCTGGGATGACTCAGAGGCCATTCCAAGTCTATGAGAACATTGCAGAGGCCAACACATCACCTGCATCGTTCATCGCCCTCACGTGATGGCTTGCATGACCAATTGGGTCCTTACAGATATAATGCATGTCCTAGATCAAATATTTACGCTGCCAGTGCTTATCACCAGAGATAATCCAGCACTTCACCTCTGCCATCATCTTCAAGCATATACTATAATAACTGAGAGCAAAGCATGCCATTATGTGACCTTCTTTTGACTTTTCTTTGCTTCTGCATAAAGCAGAGCATAATGCATAACTTAGCTCCTTTGCAGTGGGGTCTTGAGGTTGATGTTATTCACATTTCTGTACCTTCCTGAGCTAAGTACCACTATGGAATGTTCCCTCGGGCTATTTTGCATTTGTTTCTTTATGTAGCTACTGGAATGCTTTCTGAATGGTCAAGCTCCTATTTGTGTAAAATATAAAAACACACAAATATAACTGTAAGCATTCCTGATGTATGCTCTCTGTTATTTCTCTTTTACCTAGAGTGGTTTGTGGAGATGTTTAAATACTTGCAGAAGAATTTTGCCCGTCATATGGCAGAGCACAAGAGAAGGCGATCACGGCTTGTATCAAAAGATGGAAGGTGCAACATAGAGTTTGGAAATGTAGAGGAACAGTCAAGGCTCGTCTTCTTGGTTGACATCTGGACTACTGTCTTGGATCTCCGGTGGAGGTACAAAATGACTATCTTCATTTCTGCATTCTTAGGAAGTTGGTTCCTCTTTGGCCTCCTGTGGTACGTAGTGGCATACATGCACAATGACTTGCCAGAGTTCAGACCTTCAAAGAACCACACTCCCTGTGTAGACAACATCAATGGCTTGACTTCTGCTTTCTTGTTCTCCTTGGAGACCCAGGTCACAATTGGTTATGGCTTCAGGTGTGTTACAGAACAGTGTGCCACTGCGATTTTTCTCTTGATTTTCCAGTCTATCCTAGGAGTTATCATAAACTCCTTTATGTGTGGGGCTATCTTGGCCAAGATCTCTAGGCCCAAAAAGAGGGCAAAAACCATAACATTCAGTAAGAACGCCGTCATCAGCAAACGTGCAGGGAAACTGTGTCTCCTCATTAGAGTGGCCAATCTCAGAAAAAGTCTTCTGATTGGAAGTCACATCTATGGAAAGCTCTTGAAAACCACCATCACACCCGAAGGAGAGACTATAATCCTGGATCAAGTCAACACAGAGTTTGTTGTTGATACTGGCAATGAGAACCTGTTTTTCATCTGTCCCTTGACAATTTACCATATCATCGACAAGCATAGTCCCTTCTTTGACATGACAGCAGACACCATCCATCAGCATGACTTTGAGCTGGTGGTATTTCTAGATGGGACAGTGGAATCTACTAGTGCAACATGCCAAGTGAGGACATCATATATTGCTGAGGAGGTGCTATGGGGCTACCGTTTTGCCCCCATTGTTTCCAAGACCAAAGAAGGGAAGTACAGGGTGGACTTCCACAACTTTGGCAAACCTGTGCCGGTAGAAACACCACACTGTGCCTTTTGCCTCTACAATGAGAAAGATGCGAAAGCCAAAGCGAAGATGGGATACGTTAATCATGGCTTTATGTTGCAAGAAATCAATGAAACCAGTGACACAAAAATGTAACAGATTCAAGTTCTTGCTTTTTGATATAATTGTTATTTGGCCAAAATCTGAATTGTATTCTTAATTTTTGCACAGAAGAATCTCATGGTTTGGATACCAAAGTAGTATTGACCTAACCAGAGTTAGTTACATAGTAGGCAATTTCCTGGGTGCTGGATATCACTGGATGTATAAACACATCTATATATATATAAATGCTCTGTGCATAATGAGTGTCTTAAAAACAAAAGAACCAATGAACAAAATCACACCAAATTTGGCAACAAAATATCTCACAACACAAGGAATGACCATCACTCAAAAAATTATGATTTTGTCATGTGGGAGTTGCAGTTGCTGGGATTTATATTTCACCTACAATAAAGAGCATTCTGAACTCCGTCAATGTTGGAATTGAACCAAACTTGGCACACAGAACTCCCTTAACCAACAGAAAATACTGGAAGGGTTTGGTGGGCATTGACCTTGAGTTTGGAAATTGTCGTTCACCTACATCCAGAGAGCACTGTGGACTCAAACAATGATTGATCTGGACCAAACTTGGCACAAATATTCCATATACCCAAATATGAACTCAGATGGAGTTTGGGGGAAATAGACCTTAACATTTGGGAATTGTAGTTACTGGGATTTATAGTTCACCTACAATCAAAGGGTGTTCTGAACCCCACCAATGACAGAATTGGGGCAAACTTCCCACACAGTACCCCCATGACCAACAGAAAATACTCAAGGCCATCCAGTCCAACTCCCTTCACCAGGGCAAGAAAACGTAATCAACGCCCTCCTGACAAAGAGCCATTCAGCCATAGATATAGATAGATATGATTCACACACACAGAGATATAGTATCATAGATTTGAAAGGGACCCCTGGAGAAGGACAATTATATGTTCCATGTTCCAGAGTAGGCAAACCAAATACTCCACATCAATACTGACAAAGAAACAGCAAGAAATACTGTTTACCCACAAGCATAAAGAAATTACAAATATTAGAAACCAACACTTTCTCATTACTTTATTTTCCATATCAACAGACTGGGCCACAGCAATGCGTGGCAGGGGACAGCTAGTATTTTTATATTTATTAGAATGGCACACTCAATGCAGATTTTCTAGAATTTTCAGTCAAATGAATCAGGTCTGATAGTTTTCTATTTCTAAAAGATTTATATCACTTGGGTTAGTGGAAGAAAGGAGAATTTGGTGTTGAGAATGATTAACAAATTGATTGATTATTGAGCAGCAATTATTATAATAGTATGTCATGACCTTATGGTAAATATTTTGTTAATTAGAAGACTATCCAAAGTGAACAGGTACACATACTGCCTTCTCAGATACAGTCTCATAGAACAATGAGAGAAAACAAACAAGAGCATATTTCAGTTAGTAAAGTGAATGTGTTCCTGCGTATGATGGTGCAAGTGGCGCCACCTATGTACAGAACTGTTAGTTGCAAGATTTAAACTGTTGTATCTTGCTTAATCCTGCCCCTTTTTACCCTGAGTATGTATAGTTGTATGGATTGGTTGCTTGTAGCTATCAATCAGTACTGTTTGGCTCCACCTCTTCTTCTTCATTCTGCCATCAGAGTTCCTACGATATGGATGCGAGTAAAAGACTTGATTCTAAAGGACCCTGATTTAAATTACCTCTTAGCCAGTTCTGAGGTTTTTTACCCTTGGGACTCATGTTTTATGTCCAGATCGTCCTGGATAACATTGAGGAGTTCCCAAGCACTTTCAAGCCGGTTCTTTTGGCACCAGAGGAAGATCCTGAGTCTTCAAAACATAGGCCATCTGAACTGGAGTTGTGGTTTGCTCCAGCATTCACAGCCATTGAGGAAAGAGGAATCTTGGGTGAGGCTTCTCAGCTTCAAACCCCTTGGACCCAGGACTAATTGAGACTGTAACGTATGTTTTCCTTCACTCCTCTAAAGTTTTCCAGCTCTTTGCTTTAAAGAAATGACTTTGTGATAAATAAAACTTATTTTGAGCTATTTACAGCGTTTTGGGTTTTTGGGAGTTCAAGTTTCCTATAGGAGGGCAAGAAGCAATCCCTTGGGGGAAAGGTGGCATGTCCATCCCTCCTTCATTAAGACTAATAAGACCCAAGCACGACGGCACACTGCGTTTTACTTCTTTAACCGACAGGACGATACTTACAAATGACTCAAGGTTAAGAATGGGAATGAGACAATAGAAAGTGAGAAATGTTGAAAGCTTCCAGTGCAGAGTACTTCTTGTGATATTTCTCTTTTTGTCCAAAAAAAGGGGGGAGGGGTGGCAGGGAGAAGAGATACATTAATTGTTATTTGTGTGCTTCACTTGGAAAATATTTGCAAGTTGCAGCAACAAATGAATTAAACCTTGAAAACTATAGCAAAGTGCAGCTCTACTTTCTGTGCTGGAGAATAATTGTACAAGCCCTTTTTTCTTACCTGGAAATGAGCTTCTCCAAAATAAAGCATTAACAACACCCTAGTCTCTTTCCTGAAGGTAACCCTCAATATCTAGATCTGGCATCATAATGAGATAGAACGGAAGTGTGCAGGAAATGGACAGGGATGCAAATGATTGAAGCATATTGTATAACTGGAAAATTAAAATTTTTGCAGCAATCTGATTGCTACCACTGACTATATCCCATGTGTGCAATCTGTGTTGAGTGCAATAACTGGAAAGGCTGCACTTACTTACCTCTGGTGGGTGTTCACCATGACCGTACTAATTAGATTATCCTTTGAAAATGAATAGGTTGATGCTTAAAAAGGAAACCGCCCTTAATAGCATTATTTCTTTATTTCCCTTTCTTGTTCCTTTTGCTATGACAAGATAGAAATGGCTGGGTTTCCACTCCCCACCACTGTAATAGTATTCCTGTAATTATGACACATCAGGTAGGCTTGATCTGGATTTACCTTGAAAACTTCTTTTTACATTGCAGAAAACAGTCACATTTCTGCCCTGCTGTAACAGACTTGTGATTTTTAGTGCAGAGGAAGCCCTTTTCAGATCAGATCATGACACATTTTCCAAAGTTTTTAATCTAGGACTAAAGGCATAACTATGGCCATTTTTAAAATGTGTTACATAAATACACAACTGTCAAGGAGGGGGGGGAGAGGTGTTAGCTATTTCACCTTGTTGCAGAAAAAAACACCAATAAACTTGTTACTGTTACGTGCTTTCAAGACAATTCTGACTTATAGAGATCTTAAGGCAAACCTATTCCCTGCCAACCCACCAAATGAAGACACAACACAACAGTTATGGGTTTAAAACTGGGCAACTTTATTGTTACCTAATTAACTCAATAACTGAATATCACAATCAGACTAGCACGAACGTGTATTGTCTAAAGCCGAGGTAGTGTCCCTTCCCGGCCTACCCCTCGGCTAAATAGGGCGAAGCACCCGGTTCCCGTGTGACATAAACCCAGGGTAACCTTTTAGCCAATGTTGGAGGAATCTTCCTCAAGGATGTTGAGGTAAGACCCTCCCCATTTGAAAGCCATTTATCCAGTAGTCACCTCGGTTAGAGTAACAACCGGTGATGTATTACGTTACTGGCTTTTTCCCAAAAGGGGATGCTTCGGGTGAACACCAAATGTATTTCATTCTAGCTGTTTTTCCGCCACAGGATGAGGGCAAGTTATAACCACCAAAACCCAATCTGCCCCCTAGTAACAGTATAGGGTAGACGAAAAAACCCTCCTAGAACAACCGCCACAGGATGAGGGCAAGTGTCTACTTAGCTCCATCCCCCCACCCCTTAAAACAGCTCTTAACCAACTGCTAGCCTAATCTGTAATAAAGCTGCCCAGGTATGCGTGCATGAGCTAATATCAACACCTCATTGTGTATGCTGACAGTTGTCAAATGTGGTGACCTCAATTTATAAGAATGACTGTATCGACGTTGTCACCGAATAAACCATAACTCAATATTGTATTATGTAACGTGGCGTGTCATCGTGTATGATAATGCTAGTGCGACACAGGCTGGGGGTTACCCCAGTTCTGTACAATACAAAGTTGTCACCAATATTACAAGGAAAACATTTTCTTCAAACAGTGAAATTGCACTAGGAGAAACCTTTTCTCCAACCAGCTGTGGGATCCAATGTCCCCAACACCTTATCAGTACTCCACCGTTGGTACTGGTGAGGCCGAACTCACATGCTGGCACAAAACAACTGTGGGATCCGATGTCCCCAACAACCATATCAGTACTCCGCTGTTGGTACTGGTGAGGCCGCACTCCCGTGCTTAGCACAAGACAACTGTGGGATCCAATGTCCCTGACGACCATATCAGTACTCCGCTGTTGGTACTGGTGAGGCCAATCTCCCGTGCTTGGCACAAGATACCACTTCCAAGACCTGGTGTGTCTCCCATGATCCTCAGTTCCGTCAGGTCAGTCATCAATGCATCAACGACTGGGGCTGTAAAACCAAATAACAGAACAAAACAAAAGGGGGGAGGGGGCGTCGTACCCCTCTGCCCCCTGACCCAGTCATGTATCATCCAGGCAGCCTCCTGATATAATGGCCTCAGGGAACAGAAATAACGTTACCCCAATGGGTAAACTGTTGAATGTGAGACTCGGCCCGGCCTCACTCAGGCCGTCTGATGTCTGGCACCATGCCGAAATGACTGTAAAATTAGTGACTGTATAAAGCATTCTTCCCATCTTAAGTTAAGCCACATCATAATCCTTGTGGTGTCTCTCAAAATACGTGTTTAGCATGCTTGGGTAAGGAATTGGAGAATCTAGCATTGGGTTTAGTAACAAATGGTCTGAATGTGGTAATAGACGATAGTAATGGTGCTCAAAAGAACCGTAAGGCCTTGTCAACATAAATCACGTAAATATAGTCGCCTTATCCTCCTCTGAGAGGCCCATTGAAAAATGAACTTATATCCCGATCACGAGATGGTTGGGTGGAGCTATTGCTAACTTTTAGCAGTATTAATCCTGACCAAACGGGTTAC